TCCAGCCATTATACAATCACGATACTTTTGAAAAGTACTAATGTTAGTTATGATCCTTATCTTTCTAATATTAGATCGTTAATAATGCTTGCGGTTTATGACGTAAAATCCAAATAACTATATCAATTGACTTTTTACTATGGACAGTAGGCTCTTACAGATGTTTTTCTTTCTTTTAAGGTCATATAAATGTTTATCGAACTTTGCCGCTGTATATTATTATGTACCTGTTAGCAAAATGGTAAACATAAAAAATCATGTTGCTCTGAATTTATTTTTTCTACATTCTCTTTGTTTAGCCATTTGCTCATTAAGACTAAAGTGGTTCAGTAAAATATTTCCATTAGTTATCCGTTTCAAAGAAAATTCCAAGTCAGAATGTCCTAAAATTCTTCTTAAACTTGAATGATGGTCAAACTTAGACCTCATATGATCATACATATGGTCGGATTTGAAATTGAAGAAATTCCAGTTTTCTGAGACTGCTCATAAGAGCATCCTGGTAGCGTATAATATCGAATTACAAGAAAGGCAATTGATATGTCTACTCTGCCTCCGATGAAACTTCAATTTTGTGATAACTAAGGATAAAGACAATAATTATATATCTAATAAATAAAGTAAGTTTATGAGTAAATTAAACCATATAAGAAAATTGTCAACTAGTGATAAGAATAAAAACTTATTGAGCAGGAGTAAATTTACTTAAATACTGTTTTTTCAAATGAAGCACGTTGATAATTGCCAAATGATGCGTTTTTTTATATGAAACCTATAAGATTTACAAATTAAACAGTCGAATAATTAAAATCGGAAGTATTAAATTGTTACGCATAATTGATAAATATATAAAAATATATCTTAAGCTTTGTTAATTTTTCGAGGCTAATAATGTATAAGTATTCATCTTAGATAAACAAATTATGATATGATCAAGCGGATGATTTATACAATTATTACGAGCATAAAAATTCTTCATTTATTACCTTGTAATTAAAATGTAAAAATTTAGTGAATAAAACTTTTAATTTATTTAGGTTATTTTAACAAAATCTATTATTTTTTATACAATATTTTGTTTTAATTTAATAATAACCTTTGTATGTCCTAACGATCAGACTGCGCATTATTTTAATGTACCATATTTTATTTATAGTCATACCTTGAAAGTTTAAACCTTCGTAATTTTCGAGTTATGAAAAATAATGACGCTTTCTTTGAACTTAACAATTATGCTTTTATTAAAGCCATAGGAAAAGGTTCATATGGTGAAGTTTGGCTATGCCAAAATGGCTGTGATAAAAAGCAGGTATTTTTAGAATTTATGACTATTAAAGTATGTGATTAAAAAAATATATCTCCAAAAAACAAATGAAAAAGAACGTAATGCAGCTAATCTTGAATGCAAGCTATTAGCACAGCTTAAACATCCAAATATTGTTCAATACAAAGATTCCTTTGAATTCAAAGATAATCTATACATTGCAATGAGCTTTTGTGAAGGTGGAGATCTGTACACACGGCTTAGAAATCAAAACGGTGTTTTTCTTGATGAACGACAATTAGTTGAGTGGTTTGTTCAGATTGCTATTGCTCTTCAATACATGCATGAAAGAAACGTTTTACATCGCGATCTGAAAACTCAGAACATCTTCCTTACTCGTTCCAAAATAATAAAAGTGGGAGACTTGGGAATTGCTCGGTATATTTTATCTTTACAAATAAAATAGTGTTTTGGAGTCATCTCATTCTATGGCTACAACTATGATCGGTACTCCATATTATATGAGTCCAGAATTGTTCGCAAATAAACCTTACAATCACAAGGTATGTTTATAACTTCTTACTTTAGTCTGATATTTGGGCTCTTGGCTGCGTTGTGTATGAAATGGCTACACTTAAACATGCCTTCAACGCAAAAAGCTTCAACTCGTTATCCTATAAAATTCTTAGCGGAAAGGTAAATAGCTCCATAAATATCTATCTTTTTTTAGATACCAGAAATGCCTAAAGAATATAGTCTTGACTTGATTAATCTGATTAGAGCAATGCTGAATCTAAAGCCAGAAAAGCGACCTTCTGCTCGCAGGATACTTAGTGACGCATTTATAAGGAGTCACATAGTACTCTTTTTGGAACTAACGAAGGATAAGTACGTATTTTATAGAATTTGAATTTAAATATATCATATATGACTAATTTTTTTATTAAAGGTCTAAGAGTGCTAACCCTAAAACTTGTATGGATTCTTCGGCTTCATCCTCTTTATACGCCGATGGTGGCGATACTTCTTCTTCTACTCCTTTGGCACAGGAAAAGTTACTTCCTATATATGATCCTAAAGAAAGCTATCTAGATAAAGAGAGGAAAAAGACTGAGTTTGAGGTACTTGTGACTAGTACACATTAGTATTCTTCTTTATATTTTCCTATATATATACATCAGTTTCTATCTCCCGTTGATTCCATTTTAGTTAGAGGTAATTTCTAATTCCAAGAAGATATATAAAACAAAGAATTCCCATTATTTGGTTCGTCCGACAAGTTCTTCAGTGAGTGAATCAGTTCAAGGTAAATGTCATTAAATTATTTTATAATATTCCTAGCTGTTCGACTGGAGAGAAGCAATGAACCCATAGAAGGTGATTCTGGAGGCAATAAATCCAATAGATCAATTTTTAAATGTGAAGAAAATTCCAAAGCCGAAATTGATAACTACAATCTCCTTAATTTGGATGCACGACAAAGGCGTAGAGAAAGAAGGCGTGTCGTTAATTCTTCCGGTAAGAAAAACGAACATATATGTAGCTATGCTATAAAAGAAAAAATTGTTGCCTTTAGTGATTCTAGATGTATTTTATTCCTTCCATTAGCAGTAAGAAAAAGTCTTATGATGTAAATCTACAATAAATCTGACAATCGTTAGGCGGTTCTTATTTTAGCGTTATTTAGGATTTTCTAACTATCGAGAGGTCGGCTATTCTAGCCACATAATTCAGAGATCAAAAAATCTTTAATATATGTTGCTACAAAACATTTTTCTTCATAAAACAATCTTAGTCCTAGGAGCTGTAATATTGCTTTAGTATGCAGAATCTATTTTTCATTTTGATTTGGACATAAAAATGGTTTTGAAAGCTTCTCTTTAATGGTATTATTGATCTTATCAAAAATATCCTCTGCATTATTAGATATGCCACAACTCGTTTTTTTACAAATAAGCATTAACGCGAATATATGGAATATGATTCTACAGCTTGTTTGCTACTTTGTTTGCACACAAGCATCGTTAACTAGATTTGTTGCCGAAATTTAAGCAATAGATAAAGCTGGAACTTATTTATCAGAAAAGGGCAAAGCTTTGACTTCTGGAAAGTGAAAAAAGGCGCTGACGGCCTGAAAACCCTAACGTCTTGTAAGATGCATAACTCAGGCCTGTGTAACCAAATTGAACTCAAGTATATAGTAATTATATTTTTGTAGCTTAGGTTTTCTGCTAGATTTTCTTATACTGGTGTGCTCCTATAGTAATATAATGATCTTAATCTGCTTTAATTTGGCTCATGATCCAAAAATATTTGTGATGGCCTCATAATGTACTGTTGGCGAGTCCAATGAGTTAAGTAGACAATAATTTTTATAAGAATGAGTTTTAGCATTTGTTATTTACTATAGAATATAAGTAACTCTTTGGTTTGCGATCATTATTCCCCTTTTAATGAAGACTAAGTAAACTTTTGTGCAATATTGAGGGAATCACCTTGTAGATAATATAATAAAAAATATTTTTTGTATAAGTGGGTTTTTGAGACTAGCAATATATCATATAATGAGGATGTATTCCTTCTATTTCCTTAAGAGGATGTAAGGCTGGTGGTGGATTTTACTATAACGGTATGGATAGAACTTACGTTGTTATTGAATTTTACATAGCCTTACTCCCTAAAATGTATTATCACATAGGGTGGGAACCTACTTATAAATGAAAAATAAGTAGTTCATTGCTATATCAAATATAACTTTGCTTCATCGGCAATCTCACAATGGAGGGGCCTTCGTTAAAATGTACCCCTCCCCTGTTATCAAATGGCACTGGCGACAGTATGACGCAGTGGTAAACGTGTCGGGATTAATCCATGAACGCTCATGGGCTGAGTCCCGATAGGAAGATTGATAAGCCCTAGTCGAGGTCGAAACTGCAGTCCACCCCAGGTTCGAATACTTTTTTGGAAGTAAGGCTACGTAAGGTTCAATGAAAAAGTAAGGCCTACTTTTAGTAATATAGGAAAATTCCATTACCAACCCTTCATCACATGAACGAAATAGAGTGAATTTATCTCATAATTAAATTTTGCCCTTAATTTCCATATAAGAAGTCGTAGATTATGTGGCTATGCAGCTTAAAACATTAGTAATAATTTTTTTAATGTTGTTGATTTGATGAAATTGAATTTTATCGCTGTGCTTCTGTTTCGCTATGCATAAATTAATTTGAGGAAATTTTTTGCTCAGATTAATTTACAGAAGATCTTTTGTTTCGGTAGGCTTAAATGATGTTGAATTACCATAAAATCCTAAATATTTAGTTTATTCGCATCCATTTTTTGCTTATAAGTATTTGATCCAATGTTAATAATATATATTTACAATCAATTTTGTGTTTTGCCTCGAGCCTATAGAATACATATGCCAAATATGTGTCAGAATAAACACTCGATCTTGAAGTATACTTACCCTGGGCATGCTATCACATGACATTACATTTTTCTGTAGGTTATTTTATTATTCTCTCGCATTAGTAAACACATCTCTGAGTCAAACTGTAAAGCTTACTATAATGATTTGAAAATTTAATTGTAAATACTTTGTAATTTTTATTTTCTAAGGCATTCAAATGTTTAAACAGTTATTTGCTATGCCTATTATACATAAGCGATATGAATAATGTCTAACTTCCCCTAGTATATGGTTAAATACAAATGCTTAGATTCTTATGGTCAAATTTGATGCTTTTATAACTCTAATCGAATACTACAGGATAAATCGTCCAGAACAGCAATTTTTAGCCTATTTCATATTTTAGAATTTATTTGTCGGTTTTTTGACTTTATCTGCATTGACTATGGCATATTCATATGTTTGTGCACTCTTTCATTCAGTATTTTTAAAACAAGAACTAGGTCGATTAAGGTGATTTAAGGATTGATACTTGGGTTTTTACCATTACCAGATAAAAAAGTTTGACGATGTGATTGCATTTTTATTAACTTTTATGAAGATGCATTAAGAAATTATCTGAAGAGGCTACAAACCATTTTTCTGTTTCAATGTTCTCTTTAATTTGTATAAATGTGTAAAAAATTAAAAATAAATAAATATTATGCATTAAACTTGTGATTCAAGATTTCACGTTTAACATTTTGTTTTGTTAAGTCTTGCCAATTTCTGCCCAATGAGATATTCATTGGAACATACATGTTGACAAGAAATTCCTAAATTTTGCATAAACCCATAACACAAATGAATTAGTTTACACTTTTTTTTCTTTTTGCATCTTACTCCTATCTTATGAATAGTATGCTTATAATGTAAATAAACAGTCTCTATGTCAAGGGTATGATGGCCAAAGTGGTGTGGTTTTTTCTGTGGTCGTAGTGTTTAGGTCAGCCTGCTATGCATTCTTATTTATATATAGAGGTTTTTTTGATTATCAAATGCTCTTAAAATGGCATATTAGCTTATCAAGTTAGAAACTAATTTTAATCGCTATCATTTGTACTGTGTTTTTCAGGCTTTTTATATCATTGCTAATTATAGGCCACTTTGATTAAGAAAATATTTGGTTCGTATAAATATAAATATTTTACGTATGTAAGTTGAGTTTTGAGACTACCAATAAATCAGTAATATGAGATGTATTCACTCTATTTCGTTTAAGGTGATGAAGGACTGATAGCATAATTTTCCCACATTTATATGAGTGAAGCTAACGTTTCCATTGAATTTCACATAGCCTTGCTTTGCTAATGAGACCAAATTTAGGGTAAGCAAGGCTATGTGAAATTCAATCGAAACGTCAACTCTACTCATATCATTGTGAAAAATTCCTTCATCACATTAAACAAATTAGGGTAAATACATCTTATATTAAATATGAATAGTTTAATGTCAATGG